CTATAGGTCATATTATCAGTTTTAAAAATTTATCTGACATATTTTGCATAGAACCAGATCAGTGCTTAAATGTTTTAATTAAAAAATGTATTTTTGTTCTTTTTCTCACTCACCATTCTGTCTTCTGAAGTTGTCTAAATCTGTTGTCCCATTTTTGCAATCAGGCAGAAGGTCTGATGTTTGGGTGTCTGAAAAAGCAGAAACACCTGTTAACAACACATTCACACTTATACACAAAAAAGTCAAGATTTTTTTATATGAACTGTATTGGGTTACCAAAACTATTGGTAACTTTTGACTGTGCAACTTTACAAACAGCTCCTCATAGAGCTGAAATCTAAGCAGGTTTATTTTGCAGGAGATTACAAACCGGATGCATGATGCAACCATGWTTCACTTCTGGTTTAAAATCTACATTCTTGTACACAGAACTATCTCATTCCCATGCCAGGTAATAAATCACAAAATATAAACAAATTACAAATAAATTATGTGTTTTTGACATGGAGAATATGAAAACAACTCAATATTGAACTTTTCCTTGTGTTTTATTTTGTCATGACAGGTCAGTTTGAGCATCGATTACATAATGAAGGCAGGCAAATAAAAGGAACAGAAATGTTGATGTGTTGTTGTTTTGTAATTTTTATAGTTTGGCTGAATTTAAACAAACTTTCTACAGTATAGTTCTTATAGGTTTTATTGTGGAAGGCTCTTCAGTATATCTGCAGGTGGTAAATGAGGGTATTATTATGAAATTTGACAGTTTTGATAAGTAAACCTGATCAAACCAAAGAAACAACAGACATTTTTAATTTTTTTATTTGTTTTTTGCTCTACAGACTTTAAAAAAAGTTTAAAAAATTTAAAAGTTGTTTTTCATAGCTGCAACCCTGGAGACGTCCTGAGACACTTCCTGGTTTGACAACAGTAAAAACACAGCTACTCACACAGAACAAGACACAGAGAAATGTTGATAAGAGCTTGTAGGACACACAGCAGTCCAAAACTAACAGCAACCACTCGGATCAGTTTTTCACCAGCAGGAAGAAAACACAACCAGAAAGAAATGAACTGTTCTCCTGTTTCAGACACAATTTTATTTATTTCAATTCACAAAATTAAGTTATTTTCCTGCTGATTGGATAGAAGGAATTATATGTTCTATTATTGATAAGATGGATAACAAAGCTGTTTGTTAARATTTGAACAATGTTGTACCGAACACAGCTTCACTTCACAGAAATCCAAATTTAATCAACTGTTCGAGGCATTTCTTACTAAATATATCATAATTCAACAATTTAAGCACCCACAGCTTTTCTATTATTGATTCAGGATGTATTACTCCTAGATAAAAGATTCAGGAATTGTTTTACAAGAACATATCTCACAGAGAATCTCTGTAGGGGGAAAAATCAATAATACACTCTCTCAGCTATCTCTCAGAAAGCTCACGATGTACTGTTATTTTATATTACTTAAAATTGTACTAATATAACATACTGTACCTACATGTTTAAACTTTTAAGAAATGTTTTATCATTGTGTAAAAAGCCTTTTATTGCCAAGACAGTTTTGTTGAATAAAGTTTTAAAATAAACTATTTACACAGACATTGTTCAGGTAAACAAACTAGCACTGAATAAATATAACATCAAAAGGAAAACAGACAGAGTTGGAAGGTATTTATCATGTTAGCTTATGGATATTGTAGCCACATATTTTAAATGAACATCAAATTAAATGTTGGTAATCAGTCTTACAGTTGAAGAGAGAGATTATGTTTTACCTGGATACACCTTGGTTTGTTTATCAGAATGGTTTCTGGTTGGTGCAGCAGGTTGATTCACATAATCCATGGTAATCTGAGTTTGCTGTGTGCGAACAACTCTTGCCATCTTTCCTAATGGAGACAAACTGAAAAAGACAGGATGTTTATGTTGGGCATGATACTGATATATAACRCACATCCCCTTTTTGCATTTCTCTTTTTTAACAAACCATAACGATTGCAAATCGTTTGTGCGTGCCAGCACTGCCCAAGTTTGGCAACTGGTGATGGCAACAGCAGTTTGAACGGTGTCATAATCAGTGAAGTAAAATGATTTGTCTTTTTATTTATATGTGATGTTTTTACAGTTTTATTTTCTGCATGCACAATTGAGCTGTAAGATTGAGATCAATAAATTGGAAGTCTGAATAAAATAGTGGAAAACCAGTTGATTCTCTCCCAGAAGGCTTTATTCTCATCTGACTCCATTAACAGCTCANTAGAAGAGGTCCACGAAAACTTCAAGGTTTTGAAAACTGTTTGTGTGGAAGAATGGGCCAAAATCACACCTGAGCAATGCATGCCACTAGTTTCTGCATACAGGAGGTGTCTTGAAGCTGTCATTGCCAACAAAGGCTTTTGTACAAAGTATTAGATAAATTTCAGTAAGTATGTTCAATACTTTTTCCCAGTGCCATTCCATCTTATTACAAATAACTTCATTTCTGGTTTGATTTCTTTGTATGTATGGATCACTTGGGTTGTTACCGACATCTAGTGAAAATTTCATGTCATTAGCACCTCTAGTAATATATTTACTGAGAAAAATGTTGACGTGTTCAATACTTATTTTACCCGCTGTATTTGTTCTGTCTGCGTGATAAAAATAACTAATATTTTTGTTCTCGCAATGCCTCCAAGAACTCCTGGCAGAACTTTTATTCAGCTTCAAATGTTCTGCTGAGGAGCAGAAAGTACAGCACAAAAAAAACTCCCAAAGACGGTCAAACAAATCTTAGAACGACAATCAGAGAACTCATGGAAGGAGATTTTTCTGCACGTATGATTTGACCTTTTCAACAAATTTTTGTAAGACTACTAAGATTAAGAAGATCTCTGTTTTTCAGTGTGTGTGGCCTCTCTGTGATAAAGAAACCTCAACAAGGATTTCAATTGATTAATATTTTTGTGCTTTAACGTTTCATCCAAGTGAGCAGCCTTTAAACATGTGCAAAATAAACAAAATGACAGGGTCTAAGAAAGACTAGAAATGTCTCAGATTTCCAGGGTGTGTGTGTGTGTGTGGGGGGGGGGCAGCAGGAGAGAATGAACTCATTGACAGATTTTCCTACATTTATAATTTTCTCTGATGTTGCAGCACTCACAGGTTTGTGGACCATGCTAGTCTTTTTTCTTTTCCATCTTTCTTTTAACCGCGTACCTCTGTGACATCGCGGTGAAGCTAAGAGGCTGTTTGTGGAGAGCCTCCAGGCGGATCTTCTCTTTCCCAGACCGCTGGTAGAGATAGATGGGCTATGATGCTGCGCTGATGTACAGGCGTTCGGCCAAACGGGCGGAGCGAGAGCTACAGCAAGCAGCTGGTTCACACTTCAGCAAAAAAATAAAAAGAAAATTAAAAAAGAAAAACTAAACAAAACAAAAAGCAAAAATAAGGAATGATGATATTTTCAATACAATTTTTCCTCAATATTTTATTAACAAAGTTTTTCCTAGTGCCTCCATAAGGCAAAGTTTACATGTAAAAATTATAAAATAGACACTATACCATCGATTAAAAGTGAAATAAAATCTAGCTTTGTGCGTGACTGAAGATCTCTGGACATCTTTCAGGTGTTTGTGGTCGTCTATTTTCACATGAAAACAAAAGAAGACTGTGTTGTACGTGTTCTTACAGCTAAAAACCTCTGACCTTGTGCTTTTGGAAGAGCTCACAGGAGTACACATGGTGCAAGAAAACACAGTGGAAACTGTTGTTTCTTGTTTACTCGTGCATAAATCCACAATATTGGCCAAAAAGTGGAAAGCAATGTGTAAATCGTGTATGGGGAGAAAGTACGAAGAAGCAAAAGTCTTCYACATGCACATGGGCTGGATGATCAGGAAACGGCGTGGTTTAAAAAAAAACAACAACAAACAAACAAACAAACTCAAAAAACAAGCTTGTTCTCGTCCGGCTCATTCACACCCGCCCACAGTAACAGACTGCCATGAACCATGTGCTACAATCGCAGCACAACAAGAGAGTCATGCTCATCTTCACTTCATCACCTCTGAGTTTAGATTGTATTTTACTTCCTGCTGGATACTCGGCTTCAGGTGAAGATCTTGGAATGCGATGAGGTAAGGAGACAAAAAAAATTAAAATATCGTATCCTGAAAATTAGCGTCGTAACGCCASACTGCTTCTCACAGAGACGCTAGCAGCTTTTTCTCGTTCTTTAGAGAGCTCCATCTCTATCTTCAACTGGATCTTGTCCCAGTCCACTTCAACCTGGAAGAGGTAAGTAGGAAAAAAAATTAGATTAGATTTGTCATTTCAGATTTTCTAAAAGTTTATATAAAAACTGAGCTCACCAGCAGGCCAGATGTGGCCCKTGAGCCGCCAGTTTAATACACCTGATCTAGACTGTAATGTCTAACATGGGATACGGTGTAAAAGACACACAGAAATCTGATTTAAATTACTACAACGTCTGGTCTGAGAAGCATCCATTTCGATAAATTCAGCTACTTTTTGAAACAATTTAAAAATTTGACAAAAATCAAGTTTTTGTTTGTGATTTTTGTTAATCAGTTAATCTCACACAGTGTTTTTCTGTCATAAAACTTAAAATCACCAGTTTATACAACACAAAGGAGAAGCTACCACAACATACCCCTTCAGCGTACTGCAGGAATCTCTTATTGGTCTCCTTTCTGCCGGCTTTCTGCAGAAACTTCCCCCTGTAGGCCAGGACAGTGTCCACATGGGTCTTGTGTTTGACTGCCAGCTCCAGAGCCCTGAACAGGACAGGACACACAAAACTAATGTTCACTTTCTCAAATCGACTTTAGATCTTTTCATAATAAACCTCATGTGGCTGACGAATTGCATCCGCCTTTAATCTCACTGCACAGTCATCAGCACAAACCCAGAAAGAGAGTTATACCTCTCCCAGTTGAAAAGGTCAACGTTCATTTGAATGGCCTGGTAGATGAGACCGGCTTGTAAAAGTGTTGACTCAGCTTCCTGGACCTGACCACTGAACATCAGCATGTGGGCCAAAGAGGACTCCTTAGACGGCTGCTCCTTAATAAAGTTGATGTACTGCACTCGGGGTAACTGAAAACCAAAGATGGAGAGAATATGAAAATAGGAAAAAAGAAAGCTACCTCATCTTTTTTCCCCTAATTTGTCAGCATTATGTAAGTCGACTGATTCAAWCATGAGTATTTGTGTTGGCTAAATAAAAAAAGAAATACACATTCCACTTAAATAGCCAATAAKAAATGTTCTTACCTCTCCAATGGCAGCATAGGCCATTTCTGCAGTGGTCAGGTCCCTGTTTGCCATCGCCATACCAGCCAGACACGCCCACAAAGACTGATCCTAAAGAAGGACAGAGCACCTTTGAATGGATTTCTCAATGCTAGTTTTCATTTCAAGAACCAAATAAAACAGAAAAATGCATATAACAAAGTTTGGGATGTACAAACATTTGGCAACTTGTCTACTATTTTTAGTAGGACTTTAGGAAACAAACGAATGAAAGTGAAGCGAGAGTTGGAAATGAAGAATCATCTAYTATAATTTTCACAGCATTTAAAGTCTTTAAATCTACAGTTGACAATAACACCAAACAACAGGCACCTCACCAAAAATGATTATTTGTTTAAAAAATGTGCATAAATATGCAATACCTATATTTATTCATGCCCTTGAATGTTTTATGCTTTTGATGCTGTTAAAAAATCTGTCATGGTCAATATACAGCAGGTAAAGTAAGTATTGAACACGTCAACATTTATCTCAGTAAATATATTACTAGAGGTACTAATGACATGAAATTTCCACCAGATGTTGGTAACAACCCAAGTGATCCATACATACAAAGAAATCAAACCATAAATGTCCAGAAATGAAGTTATTTGTAATAATGTGGAATGTGTAGCAATAACTTGGATTGGAATGTCAAACCCAAACTTTGTTTACCTCAAGAC